CAGACGAGTATAATCTAGGTCCTCTTCCGGTTCTGGTTTACTACAGGCACCAGATTCCTATAATTTATGAGCGTAAGCATTGCCGATTGTAAAATAAACCGTGTTTTAAAAATATTTTTAAAACGTTTAAGATTCCAAAAAAAAATATATAATCTCAATACAATGAATCTTTAGTGTATTTAGAATCCTGCGAATAGATTATAAGATAGCATTTGTGTTTTTCAAAATTTAAAAAAGAGAAAGACTCCAAGCAATCACGTATAAGTGAAACAAATTAAAAAGTTTGGAAATGATTCTATGTTAGTTGAGAAAAAATTTGAAAAAAAAAGAACGGGACAAAAATTTAGATAAAATTTAGGCAAGTCTGTGTTCCTACGTATAATTTAAGAAAACAAAGTAATTTAAGAATATTTTTGCGCGACGTTAATTGAAAATTCGCGCAGACGAGCTTAGCAAAGAGGAAGACGTGCTGGAATGGCTGGTAGCGAACAAGAGCACAGGAGATGAGGAGGATGTGATCGAAGACGTGACTGCGAAGACTCTGCAAACCCTGATCGGAAATATCGACAATCTAGTCGTTTTATTCTGTACGTATTTTTCCACTCGTCATAATTTTCTTTTTCTTTTTTAATACTCTTCTCTTATCTTTGTCGTTCTGCGTTCTTCCTTTAGACGACCATGGTGACGAGGATTCGATGCAGGTGTTGAACGAGCTGGAAAAGATCGATGACGATTGCGACAGGCACGGGATTCAATTCGTGAAAATTGACGACGAGAAGGCTGCCAAGGACTTTGGGATCAATTCACTTCCCGCGATCGTGTATTTCGAAAAACAAATCCCGAATCTTTACGATGGTGGGTAGGTGGGTGGAACAATTGGGGAAACCGACATGGATAACAGAAAAACGAGCTGGATGTATGGTTAGAGATTAAATGAAATAAAATTGGACGATCGTAGGAGACGTGGAGAACGAGGATGAGATCTTAGAGTGGCTGCTGTCCCAGTTGGAGAAGGACGAGATTGAGGACGTTACCGACGAAATGTTGGATCGTCTGATCAAGGATGGAAAAACCCTTGCCGTACTATTTTGTAAGCTCCTTTATTCACGAAAATTAAAAATTAAATTATAGTGTTAAATATTACTAGAAAAGAAATAGTGGAGCATCGTTTTTGTTCTTGCATTTACTTTTTCAACGAATTTTTTCCTTAATAATTGATGTTTCTTTTTTTTTTTTTATTTGAAAATCAATTTTCTTTATGATACTATCTGAATTTTTTTTTACAAAAATTGTAAATTATCAGACGACAACAACGACCGGAAATGCCAAAAGATTCTCAATGAACTGGAGAACATTGACGACGAATGCGATCAGATAGGGGTGACCTTCGTGAAGATCGACAACGTGGAGGAAGCGAAGGAGTACGGCATCGAGAAAATTCCCAGCATGATCTATTTCGAGAAGGGGATACCCACGATGTACGAGGGAAATTTGGAGGACGAGGAAAAAGTTTTAAAATGGTTGGAACAGCAACAGAAGAGCGATCACATCGAGGATATCACCGACGAGATGCTCGATATGGTCATCGACAAGATGCCTCACGTAGCCGTCCTCTTTTGTCAGTGATTAATTCCTTTCTCATTTTAACATTTATTCTCACATATCTCATATTAAATACGTAAATTAAAATTATACGAAACATCCGTTTCGTGCATCGAATTTTATTTTCATTATCTTTTTCACAGATGACAAGGATCAGAAGAAGAGCCAGAAGATCCTTGGTGAATTGGAGAACATCGATGATGACTGCGATCAACATAACATAGCGTTCGTGAAGATTTCCGACCTCAATGAAGCCAAGGAATACGGCATCGAGTCCCTGCCGACCCTTGTATTCTTCGAAAAGAAGATACCACACATATACGAAGGTATATTTTCATATCTGAGTCGTTTTAAATTCAAGTGAAAATCATCAGATCTTTTGCCAAAAAAAAAGAAAAAAAAAATTTACAAATCTTTCTTCTTCACGAAAAATTGATCAAAATCGATCTCTATCCCACAGGGGATCTGATGAACGAGGATCAACTGCTCGGATGGCTGCTGCATCAGAAGAAGCACACAGAGATACCGGAAGTGACGGACGAGATGATGGACAAGCTGATTGAGACCTCGCCGTACCTGGCAGTCCTGTTTTGTAAGCGATCGATTCGTCTTTCTACCTCCTTTTAACATTCTTCCACTGTTACCGGTTAGGTAGGTGCTGTTGGTCGATCGCGAGCGAAAACGAGACACGAATTGATTCCCTTCCGTAGACGACAAGGACGACAAGCAGGACATACGCATCCTGAACGAGTTGGAGAACATTGACGACGAGCTGGAGAAGGAAGGGATCGTGATCATCCGTATGGACAACGACGCCGAGGCGAAGGAATACGGTATCGATCACCTTCCGACTCTGGTTTACTTCGAGAACAAGATCCCAGCCATCTACGAGGGCGATCTGTTGAACGAGGACGAGGTTCTCGAATGGCTGATCGAGCAAAAGAACACTGCCACCATCGAGGAAGTCACGGACGAGATACTGGTCGATCTTATCGAAGAGCATGAATACGTGGTCGCATTCTTCAGTAAGTTCTTTCGATTCTCTTCAATGCACTTTTTTATATACTTTAATATTTTTTTTTTTAAGTATCGTGTGTAATAATTTATTTTATATAAATTCGTTCGAGTGTTTCGTAATATTTCTTTGGATAGATAGCGTAATAATTTTTTTTTTTGATAAGTTTTGTAATACGATTTATTAGGCGGAGATTGCGAGGACGGTGACGAGTGTGACAAAATTCTCAAGGAGCTGGAGAATATCGACGACGAGCTGGACGAAACTGGCATCATCTTCGTCACCACAGAGGACATGGGTTTCGCGAAGAAACACGGGATCAAGACCTTCCCTACGTTGGCTTTCTTCAGGAACAAAGAACCTTTGATCTTCAAGGGAGATATCGAAGATGAGGACGAGGTTCTCTCGTGGATCACCGACGAAGATACACTCGAGATCCCTGGAAAGATCGAGGAAGTGAATGCCAAGATGCTAGAGAACATTCTTGAGGAGAACGATTACATCGTTATCTTCTTCTGTTAGTATTCTCGAGCTATCGATTTCTTTCATTCTCAAGCCTTCGCATAATTATGGGAAATTAATAATTAATTAATAATGATTCAACTTTCTTTTTTTTTTTATTAAAATTATTAAATGAAAAATCGTTTGTATCGTGATTCTCTATTCTTTAAGACAAAGAAGGCGACAAGAAGAGCCAGAAGATCCTACAAGAGCTCGAGAATATCGATGACGAGTGCGAAGAGAAAGACATCGATTTCGTAAAAATTTCGGACGAAGGAATCGAAAAGGAATACGATCTTCCTGGTCTACCGGCATTGGCGTTTTACAGACACAAATTCCGTCAGGTTTACAACGGTGATATGATGCACGAAGAAGCGATTTTGGATTGGATACTGGACCTTCGAACTCAAACCCCGGACGTGATCGAAAACGTTGACCGGAAGACGCTGCAAGTATTGATCAATGACGTTGAGCATCTTGCTGTATTCTTTTGTAAGTGTATATCTATATCATATAATATTTCATCAAATCTCAATATTTAATTGAATAAAATATATAAATATAATAGAACTCTATTTATTCCGATTTTTAATATATCAAATGCCATGGAAAATCTATAATTTATAAAATATGTCATCATCATTTAATTCTAATATTATGGTAACATATATGTTATACTGAATAAAATTTTAAGAAATTTCATTTATAAATCTTTAAAAAATTTACCACTAGAATGATCTCAAAGAATTATTTCACTGTCTTACTTAATATAAATTATAATTGTACTGCATATTTTAACTGGATGTCCAAAAATTAAGAAGACATGACACAACAGATATAGATGTACTTACACAGAGTGTTAATATATTCGTTAGTCATTTTTAGAGAATCAATTTTAGAAGGATTTTAAAACAAATGTATATAAAAAGATCGGTTTAGATTTATTATAATATAATGAATTTCAATTCGTATTGATTGTAGTGCAGCAGAAAAGTCAAACTAAAACAAAGCGATCATATCTATTTCATCGTCTACTAATTCAAACTTCAATTGCTTTTTACAATTTAACATTTGATTTTTGTATTTGTTTTGGCTTCTCCAAAGATATCGCACGAAATATATTAACATCCTGTATATACTTATAACAGAAAGAAATTTTAAATAATTAATAAAAAATTATTATTTTATAAATAAATTTGTAATAATTTCGCATATGGTACAATTATTTGACGTGAAGATCGTATTATCTATATTTTATCGCATAAATGAAATTTTTAATAATATTAATTATAAACTGACGTGATAAATAGAGTTCAATATCTTAAAAGAGCATTAATTTTAAAGGGTAAAGGGGAAAACTTCTTTTAGAAAATAAGACGTTTCTTTTGAACAGACGATGATAAATGCGAAACGTGCCCGGAAATCCTCGAAGACTTAGAGACGATCGACGACGATACCGACAAACACGGTATCCAATTCGTTAAGTCAAACGACGCGAAATTAGCCGCTGAAATCGGCGTTTTCGCATTTCCGGCGCTCGTTTATTACGAGACTGGCGTGCCCATCATGTACGACGGTAAGTCTCGATTGCTCAATCCTTGCTTTGTTCGATTATAATCAAGACTCGCGCTCCCTTCGTTCGATCGTCTTTGTTCCTTTAAGTTAGATTGTTTTTTCTTTCTTTCTTTTTTTTTCTCTACATACGTTTCTTTTCTGGTATGATATTTTTTTCATTTATTTATTAATTAATTATTGAAACAAAGACGCGTAGAGATTTCTGCTTTATATTCCTCGTAGACATCCCCTGCATTGTTCTTCTTTCATTGAAGCTCGAAATATTTTATATGGTAAATGGTTTCACGATATAAAATCAGTTTCAGATTTTATTCGTAACTAAGGTTGAGAAACCAGATACTCGGTGAATCGATCGATTAACAGAGATCGATTTCAAGAAGATTCATCGCACAGTAAATATTGTTTTCGTTTGATGCAAACAAATTGATGATCGTTTGAGTACCGTGCAACAATTATTAAGTAATCTTTTCATAACCATGTAATTAAATATTTCACTTTTAAATAATTGGTTTATAAATCATATATGTGTTTCAATACATATTATTGTCGTTTAATGAAAGTAGCAGAGAAATTATTCTTTTTTTTTTTTTTGGTTACTCAAACGATTTTGATATAAAATAAAACATACAAACGAATCATTATTAAAACGAAAGAAACACAAGATTAAAAAAAAAAAAGGAAGAACAACCCATCCCACAAGGTACCCCGCCACCAATAACCTGGCGACCCCCTTCGAAATTTAAGCAAAAATCGAATCCCTGCAAAACCGAACAAATGAAAATCTCGGTGCACCATGCAACTGAGCTGATCCTGATATGCGTGTGTGCCTTTTGTAGGTAATCTTAAGAACGAGGCGAGAGTTCTGGAATGGCTAATCGAACAGAAAAGTAAGGAGATTTCTAGGACGATGATTATTATTATTGGTGTACTGTTCTTTGTGACGTTAATCTCGGTCGTGACTATACCACCTGGCTACGAGTAATAAATACTCGCGCCATGGTGATCACCCCGATCACTCTGCCACAATCGCAATCCTCAACAAAAAAAGAAAAAAATCGATATCATCGATTTCTTGCATATAATATTGAACGCTTAAAATATATAATTTCTTCATAATATTCTTTTAAAATAATCGATATATCTTCGAGCAAGAAGAAACTTAATTGAAGATTTCAATGAAAAACAATTCTTGTTCAATCAATTTGATCAGATATTACATTTCCACGATAATATAATTATATAAATGACGCTTTTGTGTAGAAGGAAATTTTAATTTGTCGCAAATAAAAAATCAATTAGTGACAAATTATTATTCTATCTTTCTGGGAAAAAATTAAAATTGGCAAGAATTGTTTTTGTCGTTGTTCGATTCTTTAATTAATAGTATATACATATATATATATATGAGCATATATATGAACATATATATTTTCAATTAATGTATAAACATATATACATATATATGCTTGGTTTAATCTTATATATGCTCAGTTTGATATTTAATTTTTATTTATATGATGTACTTAGATGTATTCTTCAAGCGTTAAAGGGTTTAAGAGATTGAAAGAGGATCGGCGGTAAATGAAATGTATATTCATTGCTCGGTTTGAAGTAAACGAGAAAAGAACAAGAACGAAAAAAAAAAAAAAAAAAAAGATCTCACAAAGCTCGGTGAAAAACAAAGAAAAAAATTCGATTCATGATCTAGCTTCTAACGATGCGCGCGCGCAAAATCGCTCTGGCCAACTGACCCCGTTCACAAATGCATTTAAAACCAACACTCATACAATGCGAGCTTCAATTTTGTTTTGACTCCATTTTCTCTGTCTCTTTTTCTATTACTGATTCTTGTTTCTTATAAGTATTTATTTATTTATTTTTTTTATCTTTATACTCCACTTTATCACATGCTCTATCACACCGCCACATTGCAGCAATATTCAACAACAATCTAGATCGTTTGTTCCGGCGAGAGCGCGATTCAAGCGAGGGAAAAGAAAAATATAAAAGCAGAGCGTATAGCTACAATAATCCTGTTCAATCGGTTTGATTGATCAAATTTTTTTTCAAATCTGAGGCTTTCGAACACGTTCGTGATGCAAGAGGTCTTTCTTTGACCGCGTTTCCATTGATCTGTTTCGTCGTCTGTTGAATCGATTGGTATACAAAAAAAGAAAAAAAATTACAAAAACTAGAGGACAGCTCTTGGTTTGAAGATTTTTCATTAAATGAATTAAAAATTTTATAATTCAAAGGAAGAACTGTCTGTTGTTTGCTTTTGTACTTTTTTCTTTCTTTTTGCAAATGAGATCACTGGCGACGAAACAGTGCAAGCAGAAAAAAAAAATTTCGACGAATGCACACACATTCAAAAAAATACACGCGAACACGCAACATCTTTTTCCACATATACCAAATATATGTAACCACATATATCGCAATCATCTACAGGAAACAGTATCGTTAACAAATTCATACGTGTTCGTTGTGATATACATAAACAATGTGATCCATTCTAAAATGCATGCAACCCTTGGACCGAGAGGCCGTATCGATCACAAAAAACGTAGGTACACGCTCTCATTTCCGGTCGCGAAGAATGTTATCGATGACCCTGTTAATACGCAGGTAATGATAATGATGATGATGATGATGATGATGATGATGATGATGATGACGACGATGACGATGAAGACGAAGACGATGATGACGAAGACGACGATGATGACGACAATGACGAAGACGATGACGACGATAATGAAGATGATGATGACAATGATAATAATGATGATGATGATGATAATGATGATGATGATGATGATGACGATGATGACGACAACGAAGAAAAAAATGAGAAATTGAACAAAGCCCTGAAGAAAATCCTGGACAAAGGTAAAGGTCCAACGACAACCAAGGAGGCCGAAGAGGATTTCACGTGAGAGATCGAAGTGTGACGGGCTTTGTATTGCGCGATATTATAAAAAAAATATAAAATAGAAGGCAATAATGCTATAAAATGATATCCCTGCAGAAAACAAAACGTAGAAATATATGTGTATTTTATATTATCAGTAAAGCGATTCGGATGTAACAAGTAATCTTGAATGAAACATGGCCGTCCACTCGTCGTTTACGGTCGAGCTGGTGGCCGTAGGGCGTACCTGCATGAGAATTAAAATTAAAATATTTTTTGTTATTTTTTTTTTTCTTATTCCTCCTTAATTTTTTATCGTTTCCTTAACTCACTCAATCTGACTCCTTTTTTGTCCCTTTTTCTTTTTATTCTCCACTTTCTAAAATTTTTGAATTACCCTCGTGCATGCCAGCCTTATGATATTCCCTTCGTCAATGGAGCTACGTGACCAAACACAGTCACACCATTTTGAAAATTGATCGTATACATTTATATAGATTATATACGTTTATCGCTAGGCTTTAGTCTTTATTTTTTATTGTTTTATTTCTCTCTCCTCTCTCTCTCTCTCTCTCTCTCTTCTTTTCTCTAGTAAGTAAATT